GTCACCTTCTTGCTCAGGCTGGTCTCAAACTCCTGAGCTCAAAGGATGCTAGTGCTTGGGCCTCCCACAGTGCTAGGATTCGAGGAGTAAGCTACAAAGCTGGGACAAAAGTCTACATCTCTTTACCAACATTTAAAGTGCAGTTTTAAAACTATTTTTTAAGAAGCAGTTAAAAAAAAAATCTTTTGGAAAGATTGATAGTGAATATCAAAGATGACACTCTGGCTTAGGGCTGGTAGCTCAATAGTTAGGGTGCCAGTGACATATACCTGGGGCTGGCAGGTTCGAACCCAGTCAGGGCCTGCTAAAGAACAATTACAACAACAGAAAAATAGCTGGGTGTTGTGGCAGGCGCCTGTAGTCTCAACTACTTGGGAGGCTAAGGCAAGAGAACTGCTTAAGCCCAAGAGTTAGAGGTTACTGCGAGTGATGGCATAGCACTGTACCGAGGGCAACATAGTAAGACTGTCTCAAAAAAAAAAAAGAAAAAAAATAAAAGCTTGGTGCCCATAGCACAGTGGTTACGGTGCCAGCCACATACACCAAGGGTGATAGGTTTAAAACCGGCCTGAGTCAGCTAAACAATGACAATTGCAACAAAAAATAGCCAGGCGTTGTGGCACGCGCCTGTAGTTTCAGCTACTTGGGAGGCTGAGGCAAGAGAATAGCTTAAGCCCAATAGTTGGAGGTTGTCATGGCACTCTACCAAGGGCAACATAGTGAGACTCTGTCTCAAAAAATAAACAAACAAAAAAAACCAAAGATGACACTCCTACCTATAACAAATTATCTACCACATAGCAATAGGCCAATAAAAGGATTTTTTGTTTTATTTTTTAGACAGGGTATTATGCTGTTATTCAGGATGGAATACAGAGGCATGATCACAGCTCACTACTGCCTCAAACTCCTGTGCTCATGTGATCTTCCTTCATCAGTCTCCCAAGTAACTAGTACTACAAGCACATACCACCATGTTTAACTAATGTTTAAAGACTTTTTGCAGAGATGAGGTCTCACTATGTTGCCCAGGTTGAACTCAAACTCCTGGTCTTAAGCAATCTTCCTGCCTTGGCCGGGAAATGCTGTCATTACAAGCATAAGCTACCATGCCTGGTCCCCCAAAAATCATATATACTTTGATACCAAGAGTTTTATACATATTAAATTTCTAACTTTATAGTATCAACAATTTTTATCCCACTAAATAGAATATCTTTTTTTTTTTTTTGAGACAGTCTCAAGCTATCGCCCTGGGTAGAGTGCCATGGCATCATAGCTCACAGCAACCTCTAATTTGGGCTCAAGCAATCCTCTTGCCTCAGTTTTTTTGTTTTTAGTAGAGATGGAGGTCTCACTTTTGCTCAGGCTGGTCTTAAACTCATGAACTGAAACTATCCACCCATCTCCAAGAGTGCTAGGATTATAGGCATGAGCCACTGTGCCTAGCCCTAAGAATATCATTTTGTTTAAGTAATAAGTCTAGAAATGAAGTGATCACAGGTCATATGCTATGGAATTTTAATCAGGATAAAGAAAGTAAGAATTTTCCCTTAAGTAAGTTAGTAAACATCAGAATGGAGTAGCAAACTGCCCAGTGTTTATTTTGGTGGGGGCTGGATTTGAACCCACCACCCTCAGCATATGGGGCAGGTGCCCTACTCCTTAAGCCACAGGTGCTGCCCTAAAAAATTCTTTGTTTTTTGTTTTTATTTTTTAAAACATAGATTTTTTTTTTTTTTTGGCCAGGGCTGGGTTTAAACCTGCCATCTCTAGCATATGGGGTGGCTGTCTTACTCCTTTGAGCCACAGGCGCCACCCAAGAACTTATATATGACTAAGTAAAATTCTGTGCTGATTTAGGAGCTGATCTGAGTCACTCAACTGCTCAAGTCACTTAAGCACTTTGGGTTTCTTCATTTGTTAATAAGGTGGATTAAGACAAATGCTCCCAATTCCTCTTCTAACTATAATCCCCAAGAGTAGAAGGTCGTAGTGGAAATCCTAAAACTAAGATAAATACTTCAAAAAGGAGTGTTTTGGCTTGGTGCCTGTAGCTCAGTGACATACACTGGAGCTGGCAGGTTCGAATCTGGCCCAGGCCTGTCAAACAACAATGACAACTGCAACCAAAATATAGCTCCATGTTCTGGAGGGTGCCTGTACTCCCAGCTACTTGGGAGGCTGAGGCAAAAGAATCGCTTAAGCCCAAGAGTTGGAGGTTGCTGTGAGCTGTGATGTCACAGCACTCTACTGAGGATGACATAGTGAGACTCTGTCTCAAAAAAAAAAAAAAAAAGAAATGAGCATTTCACTGTGTTACTCCAAAACTTTTTTTTTTTGGAGACAAGAGTCTTATTATGCTGCCCTTGGTAGAGTGCCATGGTGTCACAGCTCACAGCAACCTCCAACTCTTGGGCTCAAGCTATCCTCTTGCCTCAGCCTCCTGAGTAGCTGGGACAAGCACCTGCCATAATGCCTGGTTATTTTTACAGACAGGGTCTCTCACTCTTGCTCAGGCTAGTCTTGAACTCATGAACTCAAGAAATCTGCCCACCTAGGCCTCTCAGAGGGCTAGGATTATAGGCATGAGCCACTATGCTTGGCCCCAGAACTCCTTTTTAGAATTAGAAAATAAATTAGGCTCGGCGCCTGTGGCTCTAGTGGCTAAGGTGCCAGCCACATACACCTAAGGTGGCAGGTTTGAATCCAGCCCAGGCCCGCCAAAAACAACAATAACGGATGCAACCAAAATAAAAATAGCTGGGCGTTGTGATGGGCGCCTGTGGTCCCAGCTACTTGGGAGGCTGAGGCAGGAGACTCACTTGAGCCCAGGAGTTGGAGGTTGCTGTGAGCTGTGATGCCATAGCACTCTACCCAGGGGGATAGCTTGAGGCTCTGTCTCCAAAAAAAAAAAAAAAATTTAATTATTTTTGTACCTTAGCACAGTTCCTGGCATAAAAGAGATATTTGACAAATTTTTATAAAGGGAGGATAAGGAAAGAAAGGGGGAGAGGAGCTTGAAATCTAGGTTATGAGAATATGTGATTTTTAAAAATAGAGGGCTAGAGGGCAGTGCCTATGGTTCAAAGGAGTAGGGTACTGGCCCCATATACCAGAGGTGGCAAGTTCAAACCCGGACCCGGCCAAAAATTGAAAAAAAAAAAGGAGGGCTAGATGTCTTTTTAAAGTTCCCTACAGTTATTTCCTTCACCTTCAATTCTCTCAAGATAGATTACCTGATGCAGGCTGAAATTTGGCTGGAGCAGACCCTCCCACTGGTTTAGAAGTTGCTCTAGTGGGTGCAGCAGGCTTGGCTGGCATGTTAGCTTTGGCTTTCTCTAGCATGGCCAATACCTGATCTTTAGAAGTTGGCTAGAGAGACAATATAACATAGAAAATTAGAGGTCACATCAATGATACACTCATACCAAGCTTACTAATAGATTGTGAGGTTCTACTTTTGAAAGACCAATGAAGGCAGGGAGGCAGCACAGAGTATAAGAGAAGTAACACAGATTGTGATGTCATGCTAAAGTAGCTATCATTCTAGAAGGGCACAGTTTTCACCCATGAAGTCAGCAGATTTGTAGTTCTATACTGCTAAATATTTTATTTTCCTCTCAAGACATATAAGAGGTCATATAATATTTTGCTTATATGAATTCAATATTTTTCTAATGGCTTTCATAGCAGAAGCAGCAGCAGCCAACAATAAGCAGTACCTTCAGTTTCCCAGTAGCCTTGGCCATTTTTTCATATCCTAAGTGCATCATGAAGAATGGCAAAGCATCTTGGGCTTTCTTGCGTACATCGCCATTTCGATCTTCTAGGCAGGAGTAGAGATGAGGAACACAAAGGATAAGGTCTGTAGGGGTGGAACGAAGAGTGGGTAGTTTCTCAGCCAGCCAGCCCAGAAGCTGCCAAAAGAAAGGAAGAATAGTTATAAATTTCAAGTGAAAATGGTATTATTTATGGTCTCAGGATTAATAATTTCATTTGTTCCAAACACTGAGTTAGCTCCTACACTGTAACTTTCCAATATGAAATCAGAACATCTATTGCTGAAGAACTGTGCTATACTTAAGGAATATGGGTAATGATGACAATCATCTTTTAATAGATATCCATAGTTCTTTGGACCATTTTGGGCATTACATTATCAAGCTTTAATAGTTCTTAATACATTTTAAAGGTGAAAAATCTTCACTTATCTTCTTTTTTACCTTTTAAGAAATATTTAGCTAGGCTCGGCACCTGTAGCACAGTGGTTATGGCGCCAGCCACATCCACCCAGGTTGGCAGGTTCGAACCCAGCCTGGGCCAGCTAAACAACAACGACAACTCACAGCAACCTCTAACTCTTAGCTTAAGCAATTCTCTTGGGGACGGCACCCTACTCACTGAGCCACAGTTGCTGCCCTCAAGCAATTCTCTTGCCTCAGTCTCCCAAGTAGCTGGGACTACAGAAGCCCACTACAATGCCTGGCAATTTTTTAGAGACAGGGTCTTGCTCTTGCTCAGGCTGGTCTTGAACCTGTGAACTCAAGAGATCTGTCTGCCTCAGCCTCCCAGAGTGCTAAGATTACAGGTGTGAGCCATGGTGCCTGGCCAGGACTTCTATTTTCTATGTTAGGTTGACAGTTTTCCTCCAGACCCCTAAAATAATCCATATTTGTATTTTCTTTATTGTGTTTAATTTTTTTTAATTAAATCATAGTCATATTTGTATTTTCAGTGGAAATTTTTCTTGCTCTTCCCATTACATCTTTTTGAGCCAGTTCTGACCTTCTTTATATAAAACTCTATCAATAACTTTATTATTATCTCATTTGGTCAGAAATTTGATTTCTCCATTATCATTTTCATAAACTTTGATTAGTCTGTGAACCATTGAAATGTCTTGTCCTTCAACTAAAAAACAACTTCACCAGCTCTAATGGGGTTTTCCCAGAAATGTGTGAGGAACAGAAGGTCTCCCATGTGAAGGGCCAGCTCCATACTGCCACTCAGCACCACCTTGGGTGGGATCTCACTGCCAGTGAGCACAATCAGGCCTTTCTATATCATGAGTGCAGAAGACATGATCATGGCAAAGTTTAACACCTGCTAATAGAGTTGATACTTGTCTATCTTCCTCAGATCTCCAAAGATGTCCAATCCAAGTTGGAGTTGTCTTATAATGGAACTATAACCAACCCCAAGGTACGCATAGGTACCCTGGTGGGGTCTCTGGGGACCTGCCGGCTTCAAATGTCACAGATAGCTGCAGAGCAACAGCTGGGCACCTGTTCACCCTTGCTAAGAATTCTTATTCATGAATGGGTTTTGGATTTCATTAAATGCTATATTTGCATCAATTGACATGATCATATGATTTTTTCCTTTATCTTGTGAGTATGATAAATTATCCTGACAAATTTTCAAATGTTAAAACTCTTCTTAATTTTCTGATTAAAGCTTTTACTATTTAAGTGTTTAAGAGAAAATTCCACAAAAATACTAGTCCTTTAAAAAGATTTATTAAAAAGTCAAGTAAAAGGGTAAAAGGGTTGGGTACGGTGGCTCATGCCTATAATCCCAGCACTCTGGAAGGCTAAAGCAGAAGGACTGCTTGAGCTCAGCAGTTTGAGACAACCCTGAGCAAAAGCGAGACTGGGTCTCTACTAAAAATAGAAAAATTGAAGCAAAAGGATCGTTTGAGCCCAAGAGCTGGAGGTTGCTGTGAGCTATAAAGCCACAGCACCCTACCCAGGGGACAGCCTGAGACTCCGTCTCCTCCTCAAAAAAAAAAAAAAAATCAGGTGAAGGGAAAAAAAAAAAAAGCACATGGGCAGTGCCTATGGCTCAGTGAGTAGGGCAATGGCCCCATATACTGAGGGTGGCAGCTTTGAACCTGTCCCCAGCCAAACTGCAACAGTAAAAAAAATGCCAGGCATTGTGGCGGGTGCTTGTAGTCCCAGCTACTTGGGTGGCTGAGGCAAGAGAGTTGCCTAAGCCCAGGAATTGGAGGTTGTTGTGAGCTGTGATGCCACAGCACTCTACCAAGGGTGATAAAGACTCTGTATCTTAAAAAAAAAAAGAGCTCTCTCTCTCTCGCCTCCTTCTGCCTTCCTTCTCTCTCTCTCCTGTCTTCCCCCTCACTCTTCTCTTCTCTATCTCTCTTCTTTTCCCCACTCTCTCCTTATCTCTCTCCCCTCTCTTCTCTCCTCCTTGGTGCTGCTCTGTAGCCTCCCTCCCCCTACCAATAAAAATCTTTCGTACAAAAAAAAAAAAAAGAAAAGAAAGAAAGAAAAGCACATAAATACCAAACCTCTAGGAATTTGGTTTCATCTTATTAGCTGCTTATAATGGAACTATAACCATAACCAGCGTTTTAACCATGACTGTAGTGTGTGTGTGTATACATATATATGTGTGTGTGTGTGTGTGTGTGTGTGTATATATTTATTTATTTTTTACTGTTTTTGGCCAGGGCTGGGTTTGAACCCATCACCTCTGGCATATGGGGCTGGCGCCCTACTCCTTTGAGCCACAGGCTCTGCCCTGAATGTAGTATATGTATTAGACAGGCCCAAGTGAAGTAAAAAACATGAGCAAAGCACCTGATTAATTTAATACTAACCTCTTGCCTCAAGAAAGGATTTTCCTTTTTGAGCTCTTCAGAAAGATCTTCTCCCTCCAGCCATTCCTTCATGCCAGTCTGTTCTGCCCAAGCATTTACAGTTGCTAGGGCAGCAGCTCGAACATTGTTCTGAATGGAGAAGAGAATAGCAAAAATAACATCAACTATAGTTGGAGATAGGGAATGGACATGTGAAAAACAGAGACTTCTCTAAGGTCCATGTGAACCTATGTGGAATCATGTTCTCTGAAACAGAAATTAGTTCCATGATTATACCAAAACAAAGTAAAGTAGAAATATAAAACTCTAAATTGTAAATTTCCTGTACTCAGTTAATTAGAAAACAATGATCTAGATATAAACTGTCATGTAAGAAGAATAAATTTTTAGATTTTCTTTCCTGAATTTCTGAAGGCTCTTATGTCTATGACTGTCTCCCTAAAGAATGGAATTCTACATGTTAAAGATTTCTTAATGGTAAAGAATGAAACTGCCAACAATTTGATTAAAAATTTATGTTTTAATTAACTTACATTAATATTAAAATAACATCATTCCTCAAATTAAATGAATTACACAAAAGTTTCTTTACTTATATTCGGTCTAAGGCTAAAGACAAGGTTTGCAACCTTCTATGACACTTCAGTGAATTTTAGGACTATGAAACTACAAATATCTTACTAAGATACCAGAATATCCTGCTCTAGTTCACAGGGGAAAAAAGGCAAAAAATAACTTCATGACCTACATTTATTCACTATACCAATACTCTAATAAAATGATGTCATAATCATAGCAGCAACCATTGTTTGAATGCATACTGTATAAGACAGGCATAATAAAATATACCTTATGTAAAGACTCATTTAATTCTGTAAACAAAGAAATTTTACAGATAAAGAAATTGACTGTCGGGCGGTGCCTGTGGCTCAAGGAATGTGGCTCCGGCCCCAGATGAAGATAAGATAACTTATCTTAGGGTCATAAAGCTAGTAAGTGCTATATCAGGCCACATTGTAGTAATGCCTAGAAGATAAAAATATTTACTATTTTTCTTCTAATGTTCTCATCTTTATAAAGTTCATAAAGGCTTTACATGTTCTCTAAAAAAAAAAAAAGAATTATCTTTTGCCCAAGAATGCAGCTAGTTTATTCCAGAATGCAGCAAGGCTTACCTTGCTGTCTCCAAGGACTGTGATGACAGGTATGCCTAAATTCTTTACATGTTGCTTTATATTTGGGCCCATGGCTACTGCCAGCTGCTGGAGGATGTTCAAAGTCTGCTGTACCTGAGTAGAAAGAGCCAACACTTTATGTTCAAGTCATAAGCAGGCTGTGCTCAAAGTTTTTCAAGTTTGCTACTATGCAGTCATTACAGTAGGAAATTTCTGGCCTACTTAAGAGACATCAGCTTGTGACAACTAATTTTTCTACTTTTGGTAGAGACAAGGTCTCACTCTTGCTCAGGCCCTCTTCAGCCTCCCAGAGTGCTAGGTTTAAAGGCATGAGGCACTGTGCTTGGCCAAATATTAGTCTCTCCTTTGATCATCAGTTCATAAACATGGATAATTAGAACTTTAAATCAGAGATTATACTACTTGACAACTTTAAGATAAAGCCTAGTTTAAGGAAACTCTGACATAAAAGAAATCTAAATTTTGCAATTATCAGTAGAAATTTAAGCATGTTTACATATAAGAGTTTTTTTGTTTGTTTGTTTGTTTTGAGACAGAAGTCTCCAGCTGTCCCCCTGGTTAGAGTGCCATGGCATCACAGCAACCTCCAACTCCTGGGCTCAAGCAAGTCTCCTGCCTCAGCCTCCCGAGTATCTGGGACCACAGGTGCTTGCCACAACACCCAGCTATTTTTTGGTTGCAGCCGTCATTGTTGTTTGGTGGGCCCGGGCTGGATTCAAACCCGCCACCTTGGGTGTACACGGTTGGCGCCTTAGCCACTTGAGCCACAGGTGCCGAGTCTACATATAAGAGTTTTATACAAAGATATTTAATATTAGATTCCCATAAAAAGTAAATTCTGAGATTCGTAAAATTTGATTAATAAATCTGCCATCTGTCAACATATCTTAAGGTACACTAAAAAAATTAAAAGAACCTATCTCTAGTTCAAAGCAAATACAGTGACCACTCATGTGCTAGTGAAGGCTCTATTGAAAAAGAAATGCCTACATCAGGGGTAAAGGAGGGAGAAAGGGACAGGCATGTACTCTACATACCAAGATTTTATTTGAATCATTGAGTCGACCCTTCAAGGCAGTTGGAAGTTCACCTATATTCGGTTGGATAAATTTTGCTTCATTGATAATACCTGCCACTTCATCTAGACCTTCTTTCCTGATCTTCCAATTCTTGTCACCGATCTTAGATACCAACTCTGAAGTGATTTTATCACTGAAAAACAGAAGACAGAACCTTAAACATAGACTTCTAAAAGAATAATAATGTCATGTAAGTTCACTATATTCAAAGAGAAGGCACTATTAAAAATCCAATAAAATGAATCAAATAAACCACTTCACAGACTGAAACTTACCTGATCTCTGTCCTTGGCAAAAGATCAACAACATCATTACTCCCATCATCTGGCTCATCTCCATCTTCTCCTTCATCTATACCACTTGTGCTATGCTTGGAAATTCCCCTGGTTGGAGCAGGTGGGCTTTGGCCCTGCATCTACATACAAATAAATTAGTGATGAAGGAAATGAGAGCAAACAAATTAGAGAAGGTATCTGTGTCAAACTTTCTTGTTCCTTCAGGGTACTTATTTACATACAGATATTTTAATTCCTATCTGTTTTAAATTTTGAGAATACATGGCAGAAGTTATTTTTATAAAGACCTATTAGAATATGACTTTTTGAAAAAAATTTTAAATTTTTAATTAGAATCTGCCTTTTCAGTCATATGACTCATTTGCTCAAGACAACACAGAACGAGTCTGCCAACACTCAGCAATTTGAGTCACAAAATGTATTCAAGGAAGATTAAGTCATGATTTTTATTTTTATTTATTTATTTATTTATCTGAGATAGAATTTCTCTCTGTCATATTTGGAAGAGTACCATGGTGTGATAGCTCACAGAAACCTCAAATACTTGGGCTCAAGCGATCCTTCTGCCTAAGCCTCCCAAGTAGCTAGGACTACAGGTGCCTGCCACAACGCCTGGCTATTTTTTAGAGACAGGGTCTTGCTCTCACTCAAGCTGGTCTGGAACTTGTGAGCTCAAGCAATCCACTTGACTTGGCCTCACAGAATGCTAGGATTACAGGCGTGAGGCATTATATCTGTCCCATGATTTTAATTTTAAATTAAAAAATAAAAGTTCTATTTAATATAATTTCTTCTTTCTTTTTTTTTTTTTTAGAGATAGAGTCTCACTTTGTCACCTTTGGTAGGGTACTGTGGCGTCACAGCTCACAGCAACCTCCAGCTCTTGGGCTTAGGTGATTCTCTTGCCTCAGCCTCCCAAGTAGCTGGGACTAGCCTGCCATAACACCCGGCTATATTTTTGTTGCAGTTTGGCCAGGGCTGGGTTCGAACACACCACCCTCGGTATATGGCGCCAGCACCCTACTCACTGAGCCACAGGTACCACCCTTAATATACTTTCTGACTAGGTAATACATTCACAATGTTTGAAACTCCAAAGGTAGAAAAGGATGTAAAGAAGAAAATTTTCCCTATTATACTATAGCTACACAATTCTCTTCTTCATAGAGAGACAAAGTCAACATTTTGTGAACTCTTTCAGGGATACTTATGCACATAAAACCAAACATATACAGCGGCACCTGTGGCTCATTGAGTAGGGCGCTGGCCTCATATACCGAGGGTGGGTGGGTTTGAACCGGGCCCTGGCCAAACTGCAACAAAAAAATAGCCAGGTATTGTGGTGGGTGCCTGTACTTTCAGCTACTTGGGAGGCTGAGGCAAGAGAATCATCTAAGCCTAGGAGTTGTAGGTTGCTGTGAGCTGTGACACTAAGGCACTCTACTGAGGAAGACAAAGTGAGACTCTGTCTCTCAAAAAAAAAAAAAAAAAGAAAAGAAAGCCCCCCAAAATATACATTCTTTATTTTTTATTTTTTTTTACATTCTTTATTACCAAGGTTTAAGAGCTTAGTTTTAACTACTATGAGATTCCCAAGTCCACCAACAGATTCTATCATTTGCAAAACCTTTACCTTCTCAAATTCTGCATCTATCTGGGATAGGAGAGCAGGCTTTTCATCCTCAAAAAACATTCGCAAAGAGGGACCAACATATAGATACATCACACCAAGTAAGGTGATGGCAGAAGTCCTCACAGCCTGCCAGAAAGAATAAAAAGAACTTTTCAAATCAGAACAGAACCACAAAGATGGTAATAATAGGCATATGTTGGTAGGTACTCACTGGATTTGTTGCAGCAAGAGCTGTCTTCACGTTGCTAATGAAAGCTTTGACATTCAATCTAAAAGAAACATTTAGAATTGAAAATCATCAACACTTTCAAAATACCAAATAGTTTTATAAAGCCAGACTCTGGGACTGGCTCCCTTTTGAGGAGTTCTCACATACTGTTTTACTACACTAATTTTATTTATTTGTTTATTTTTGAGACACGAACCTATGTCGTCCTCGGTAGAATCCCATAGCAGCACAGCAACCTCAAACTCTTGGGCTAAAGTGATTCTTTTGCCTCAGCTTCCCAAGTAGCTGGGACTACAAGCACCCGCCACAATGCCTGGCTATTTTTTATTGCAGTTGTCACTGTTGTTTAGCTGGCCCAGGCTGGGCTCAAACCCACCAGCCTTGGCGTATGTGGCTGACACCATAACCATTATGCATGGGTGCGGAGCCACTACATTCATTTTTTTTTTTTTTTTTTTGAAACAGAGCCTCCAGCTGTACCCCTGGGTAGAGTGTCATGACA